AAAATATAATAATGTATTCATACAATCGTCGTCTTAATATAATAATGTATTAATAAAAAATAAATTTTTTAAATTAATCCAGTATATTCTTTGAACGTATAATAGAAATACGCAATTTTTAAATTATTATTAACAAAAATATTATATATTTATTAAACAGTACAATATAAAAATAAAACATTTTTGTCAATAATTTTTATTATTGAATGGATATTCGAATATTCCAAAATATCGAAAATTAAAAAAAAAAAAAAAAGATACAAACGTATTCCTTTATTTTGATATTTGAATATTAAAAAAATATTTTTTTCTGAAAATTATTTGAATATTCTTAAAAAATTGAGTATCATGAATTTTTTCAATAAATGTATTTTGAAATACTGAAAATTTAAAAATATATTTATTAAATACTTCAATTAAAAACTAAAATATTTTTTATTATTATTTTTAATGGAATGGATATTCGAATATTCTAAAATATTGAAAATTAAAAAAAAAACATATTCCTTTATTTTAATATTTTAGTATTTAAAAAAAAAAATTTATGAAAATTATTTGAATATTCGTAAAACAATTGAGTTTCATGAATTTATTTGAATAAATATATTTTGAAATACTGAAAATATAAATAAGATTTTTTTTTTATTTCGAATTTGTAAAATATTAACTTTGGAAATAATATATATACATGCAGTAATTATTAAATGATTGTGTAAATGTAAAATAGGAAAAAACTTAAAAACATCCATAAATAAAAATGCCACCTAATCAATTGCAGAATCCACCTAATCAATTGAACTCCAACTAAGCAATTTTGACAAATGACATCATCATTTCCCACATGTCAATCATTCAGGGCATAGATTCTCTTTTTATATTATATATAGATATTTTCGATCAATAGTAAGAAGAATACCACCGACATTGTGACTCCCACAGTCGTTACTATCTTATTACAATCAAAACATGCGACGACCCTGTAATGCAAATATGCAATTTGGCATGCCCTACGCACATATAACGCAAATTTAAACCCAATTATTAACCTCCAATGTGAATCTAAATTTGATTGGGTATTGTTGGAGAGACTATTCACCGTCAGCTCAATACCTAATGTTTTATTTATTTCAAAATTATAAAGAGTACCTGAATCTAAAAGAAACATGAACAAATGAAGGATTCAAAGAAAAATGCTTGATGTTCAAGGAACAAGACATAGATCATTGAATACAACTTGAAAATCAAATTACCAGCTTCAAAGAATTTCACTCCGACAACTCAATAATTCATTAGCTAATTGATGAACTTATTACTGTCAAATTTTAAGAGAAATCCGTAGGATGAATTAAGAAAAAAAATAAAAAAATTCTATTCAATTTTGGAATAATTTTTTTCATTAATTCTAATTATGAAATTCAATTCGGATTTCCCAAAATCTTTTGGACCTAAGCTGTGTTTGCAAGAGTTTATTTAAAAGTAGAAGTTAATAATTATGATTTAAGTCGGTTATAAGTGTTTATTTCTTAAAGTTGGAGATGTTTGCAAATATTTTGGAAAATGAACTTAACTGGAAAAAATAATTTTAGTGAGGTTTTTAGAAAAATATTTTAAAGCAAATTATTTTAAGAGAAACAAAAGCAAAAATTGAATTTGCAAACACCTACAAACAGGTTATGAGCCAAAAAAAGCTTATAATCACTTTCAAAACACTTTTGCGAACACCACCTAAATTGGAACTATTTTCGCTTATTAGTGGTTTACGAGCTAAAATGACCATAACGCCCTTGAAGTGTTCTAGTATTTTCTTGCCCCACCCTCTCCTGCCACGCGATTGTTTTACGCCGCGGAAGGAACCGCTAACTTGCGCACAAACCGACTTCAAAAAATGCACACACCCTACTCTCTGCACAATCACCACCGCCGTCCTCCGCCGCAGCACATTTCTCCGATCGGCAGACAGTAACATGTCCAAATTACCCATCAAACATTTCTTCACCACCATGGGTACCCAGTCTTCTTCTTCCTAATTTTATCCAATTCAATATTACAAAAGTTAATCGCGGCTTCATATATATATTTTTTTTTTCTCGCAGATTTTGGCCGGAGCCTGAAATTATTTCAGAAGGATTATTCACTGTACAATAAATACGCCTACAATATTCTGAACCGCTTCCGGTGGTCCAAGGCGGACGGCGATGGATTGAAAGGGAAAAAAAGTTACGGTGAGTTGGAAAATAACGACAGTTCGTCGGACGACGATTTGGGCGGTTATAGTAATAAATGGAAGCCGGAAATTGCTTGGCTCGGCAAAGCTCTTGAGCCGGCTTTGCAGCTGTACAAATGGGCCCTTCCAACAGGTTAGGTTTTCAATTCTTTTTTTCCTGGTTTAATTTGCATTTTGTTGGATTCTTTCTGTTTCCCCCCTTCCACTGTGTATTGTTTATTGGTTTTGATTTGGTAGATTAGGTAGTGGTACCATTTTGATTATAGAAATCGAGCAACTAGGCCGATCCTTAAATTGAAAAGCTGGATTAGACATAGTTGAAATGCAAGGTTGATTTTGTTCGATTTTTTGTTAAGATGGATAATGAAAATGAATAGAAATGTTTGCTTTTACAGGAACTTGTCGTAATGATACCATTTCGATTATAGAAATTGAGCAATTCTAATTCGTAAATTGAAAAGCTGGATTATAATTTGTTAAAATACAAGGTTGATTTTATTCGATTTGTAGTTAAGATGGCTAATGAAAATGAATAGAAGTGTTTGCTTCTACAGGAACTGATCGTAAAGATACCGTTTCAATTATAGAAATTGAGCATTTCCAATTCGTAAACTGAAAAGCTGGATTAAACATAGTTAAAATGAAAGGTTTATTTTTATCCGAATTTTGCTAAGATGGATAATGAAAATGAATAGAAGTGTTTGTTTTTACCGGAACTGATCCTAAAGATACCATTCAAATTATAGAAATCGGGAAATCCCAATTCGTAAATTGAAAAGCTGGATTCGAAATAGTTAAAATACAAGGTTGATTTTTATCGAAATTTTGTTAAGACGGGTAAGGAAAACAAATCGAATTATTTTCTTTACAGGAACTGGAATCAACCGCAAACCACCGCCTATTGATCGATCTCTTGCAGAAATATTTTCGAGCATACAGAGGAGTAAGATCGGACTTCAAGATTGGAGTATGAGCGATCTTACGATTGGCTTATACCTCATTTATCTTCAACAAGCATCCACAGGTGCTGTTGAAGATGTGAAGGGTGAACTTATCTCCTCGGAGTCCATTGTGACTATCTAAACCCTTTTTTTGTCAAGTGAAAAAAATATTTTATTGCAAAGGAGTTATTCTTACGATGATTGTTGGTGATTTTAGGTTCAGGATCTCATGTACCACACAGAACTGGCAAAGGGGGCTTATAAAGATAATGCCGCCATTCTTGCAAGGCATAGTATGCTCCGAGAAAAGCACGTTTTGAAGTTTGTGAATAATTCGAGTGTGTTGAGACCTGCTTATTATATAGGAGTTGACATGAGGAAGAAACTTGTGATTCTTGGTATCCGTGGAACTCACACTGTCTTTGACCTCGTTACCGACATTATATCTTCTAGCCATGAAGATAATGAAATCACATTCGAAGGCTATTCGACCCACTTTGGAACAGCCGAGGCTGCTCGTTGGTTTATGTGTCATGAAATAGCTACCATTAGGGACTGCCTACAGAAGCACAAGGTGATGCTATAAGTTTCTCCCAATATCTTTCTTGTTTTATTCTGTTAGGCCTCGTTTGGTTTGTGAGATAAGCCAAGATTAATAAAAAAAAATGAGTCTTATTTGATGTTTGATGCCGTCTCACGGTTATGGAAACATGAGCTCCTATCTTGGATTATTGGCAGATTGTGTATTGGACCTCCCCTAGTTCAACTATACAATTGGGTTTTCGTAACATTGAATAATACTATCGTGGCTAATCTTATCTAGGGAACCAAACGAGGCCTTAAGATTTTTCATATTGTCATTGTTGTGAGACTAATTAATCAACAGGGTTTTAGGTTGAGGCTTGTGGGACATTCCCTTGGAGGTGCAACTGCTTCCTTGCTTGCGATTATGCTTCGTCAAAAATCGTCTGAGGAGCTTGGGTTCAGCCCTGATATAATTACTGCAGTTGGAATTGCCACCCCACCTTGTGTTTCTAAAGAACTCGCTGAAAGTTGCTCCGATTTTGTGACCACGGCTGTGATGCAGGTTATTGTCAATTTTAGCCATTCAACTGGTTGATTTTTCATTTGAATGCATATGCAGATTCCCTCCTTTCATTGCACTTGTCTTTTTTTTTTTTTTTTTCGTTAACAGAATTAACTTATTTTATCAATGCAGGACGATATGATCCCAAGACTAAGTGTTGCTTCTTTAACAAGATTGAGAAATGAAATTGTCGAAACTGATTGGTAAGTCCGCAATAAAATTTAGATTGGTACACAAACTTAATTTAGAGAGTGAGGAAACAAATTGATTTTTTTCGTGTATTAGAACCCGCAGTACCACAAATGACTTCTTAGATTGAGCAGTATCTGGATGAAAATCTACTTCTTGGAAATGCATGAGAAATCATTCAATGTATATTTATCTTATCATTTCTGATGATTAATTTTAAAGTAGTGTCGAAGTCCAGTCTACAATTGTAGAAATATAACTATACATGTTCTTATCGCCACTATCAAACGGAAAGAAAATTATTCATCGTTTCCGAGGGAATAGTTTTTCGTTGGTTATTGTTAGAATTATTACCTCCTTCCCGTGGAGTTTGCTATTAATATTTTATAGGACTAGATATTCGTTTAGCTGTAAGAAGGCTTCTAAGACTGTCAATTTGTTTCTCGTTCGATCATGAAAAAAGTTGATGAGTGGTGACCTTTTTGCTCTTCTTTCTTTTGGCAGGGAAAGTGTTTTTAGTAGAGAAGATTGGAAAGGCGTGATAGATCTCGTCACAAATGCAAAGCAAATCGTGTCTTCTGTACAAGATGTAGCTCGTAAACTTGCTGAATATGCTAAGTTTAGAGGACAGACAAAATATATTGGTACGTATTGAAATCTATTTACGCTTCTCGATTAGATCTTCTGTAAACGTTACTAATTTTGCAGACGCCCCCATGAAGAAGGAAGTAGTTTCGGCGGATCAAGGGAAACTGGAAAAACGAATGATCAAAGTAGAGGAGGATTTGTATGTACCGGGAACTCTGTATTACTTAAAAAGGAATGTGGATTCTGAAAGTCGCCACAAACCTGGTGAATATTACACGTTGTTGAGGAGGCACTCAGGCGAACATTTTCAAAGGATACTGCTTTCGAGCAATATAATTTCGGACCACAAATGCGATAGCCATTATTATGCTCTCAGGGATGTACTTAAAGGTCTGCCTAGCTCTTCTGACAACCGAACTAGTACTACTATGTAATAAATTCTAAATAATGAGATATATGAGATGACTGGGAAGTTGGCATTTGTAGTTAACGAATGGTAACGTAGAGCTAACTGTGCCGTAGTGAAATATTTTGGTACGCAATCGCATCTAATAGCATTAACCATGGTATTGCCCTACCGTACCGAAATTTTATTAATAATAAATAAAATAAGAAGAATTATATTACAATTTTTATATAAAAGGAGAAATAAATTCTTAGTATGCAAATAAATATAATTAGTTGAAATTAGACAATGGTTTACGCATACACCATTATAAACATTCATAAACAATCTAAAAATTAGACAATATAAGCTTTGAAACTATTATCAAAATAATAAACACCAATTATGTATCACTCATCAACTCATATTTGGAAGAAGAAGTAGCACTGCCAATTATATTAATATAAAAACTCCAACACAACGGAATATCCTCTAAGAAATTTCGAAGCCACTCGATTTCGTCATAGGCTTTATCTAAAGTTATAAACTCGTATTCCATGGTGGATCTCGCCAATTATTGTTGGATTAATAAGCCGTAACAAGAACAATACTTATTGGCTTGGTAAATCAATCGGTAAATCCTTGAACCAAAAACAACAAGGCAAAATATTTACGATAATCAGCACCAACCATTAGGCCATCTTTTCTTGGAGTTCAATTTGGGGAACCATTTGGAGCCACCCGAAATCGAACCAAGAGTACTTACCCTACGCTTGTAAGGCCGCCACGTCAGCTTCCACAGGAGCCCTCTCTGGTGACGAGTCGGGGCGCCTTTGTCTTCGGTCTTACAAGAGACGAAGCTTGTGAATATTTCATCTCCAATAGTAGTAGAAGTAGTAGTTGGATGATAGCTGAAAATCTCGTCTTCGATGGTTGCTAACGAAAAAACACGATCCCGATCTCTAACGGCGTTAAGGCGTAAATACCTCTGATCAAGAGACTCCTTCGGGAGGTTTCTTGCTAGCAATGGAGATGCGCCACCTCCCCAGTTGTTTTTACCCATCGACGGGTGTTGTGGTGTCCTAAAATCCAACAACTCCCTCTGCCTCATTTTCAATCCCTTTTGTTCGATTTTTTTTTCTTTTTTTTTTTAATATGAAAATGCAATTCTAGTAACAAGATTGAGAAACTTAGTTGTATATAAAAGCATCAGTCGATATATTTACGTTTGTTTTACGAATGTGATCTTTTACTTAAAAGACATACATGCTAATTGATGTGTTCTTTTTCGTTGTGGCTTAAAGACAAAGAGGCAGCGATTACTTCAAGAACAATGCTGATATTAATTAGTTAATTGATTAGAGCCCTTGGATTTGAATATATCCCAACTAAGAATTTTGCTAAGCTGGCTGTGTATAATTTTTACATAAATTAGATACAATAATTGCTTCAATACGATACGAGTTGTTTTTAATTTCCATGTGAAGGGGACTCGATTGAGTACGTAACTCTACAGAAAACTAAAGAGTAACGACAAAATTCATTAAGCTCGATATATTATTAGTTATAAAAGTTGGAAATAATTGAAGACCATATACGTGTCGACTGTGACACCCATTTTTTATATGCTGTGCTGATTCGTCTTGAAAACGAAAGACGATATGAGAAACCAAGGCGATCACGATTAACTTGTAATGAAGAGGGCAGGGAATCTTGGTTTACTGAGTAGATGACAAATAAATGTGTATGTCATCTTTGGCTCCAATCGAAGATGAAATCGAAATTTATTTATTTGTTAATAAAACCTGTGGTCACTGCGTGATCTGTTCGACCTCGATACGAATTAATGAGCCTCCGATATCGACTGGAAAACAATTTATTTTGTTAGAAAATAGGGAAAATAAAAAAATAGAAGCAATGGGGTTGTCTTTTGTGAAGCTAAATTTTAGCAGAGTATGTCATGATGGTACACAAGATGTGAACTTTTAAGGTTTATAATGTTGTTTATAGTACATTGGTCCCCTACCCCCTTATTCTTTTTTCTAATTACGGCCATCCCCTGAACTAAGGTCAAATTACGAAAAAATTCCTCATGTTTGGGTAATTACAATCACTCCCCTCAACTATAAATCTTCTTACACGTCACACCCTTGCGGTGTCAAATTTAGTGGAATCTTCTGGATTATGTGGAATATTCTTCAGTTTGTACCCGTTTTAACTCATTCGAGCTCCAAGTTTTGAAACAAGATGCTCATAAGATGTGTCTCTTGGCTTGTAAATATCAGATCGTGGTGCATCAAAAACTATTTTTTTTGCACAAAACGAGTACAAACTAGAGAACATTCCACGGACTCTAGAAGATTATGTTGAATTTGAGACCATAAGAGTGGACGTGTAAGAAAATTCATAGTTGAGGGTGTTGGTTTTGAGGGTTTTTTTGTCGTAATTTGACCTTATCTCAGGGCGTGGCCGTAATTTACCCTTTCTTTTATATATTTATTTATTTTATTTTTTGAGAATTCCCTCATGCAATAATTAATTAAAGGTTTGTTTCCGGGGACCATTAATTTCTTGGATCGTACTAATGAAAATAAATGAACACTAAATTTACTTTCCTCTTAAAAAAAGAGACAATTTCTCATCATTCAACTGCATAAATGGCTCTAATTCTCTAGATACATCGAAACCTACACAATTTTTCGTTTTCGAAACTCCTAAGTCATAAATAAAATGGAGATTCTTATGTCAAACTGGTCTGAAGTTGTTCAATCCATGCCAGAAAAATACATATTCCCTCCTAATAAAAGGCCCGGAAATCACGTTTTTCCCGTTTTCAAGAACATTCCATTGATCGATCTCGAAGAGACAAATGGCCGTGACCGAACCAAGCTAATTCAACAGATTTTCAGTGCAAGCCAAGATTTTGGAATCTTTCAGGTTTCTCACTATGTTCCTTATTTAAATAAATAGATAAACAACAAGTTATATATACATTATTCATATGTTTTTTTATTTTTTGTAATAATAATGCAGGTGATTAACCATGGAATTCCTACAAGCCTAATGGATGATACAATGAGTGTTTCAAAGGAGTTTTTCGCTATGCCAGCCGAGTATAAAACGAGCTTCTATTCAACCGACATAGCTAGAAAATGCAGAATCTACTCGAGCACAATGAATTACGATAACGAAGAAGTTCACTACTGGAGAGATAATTTCACTCACCATTGTCATCCACTTGAAGACCAAATTTACCTCTGGCCCGATAACCCTACCAGATACCGGTATATACATACATATACATATATAAGTGTTTATTGCCTTTAGTACCCCTGTGTTTACTCTAATCGTCAAAAACACCCCCATATTATTAATATTAGCAAAATCTCCCCTATATATGATCCAATCTTATTAGCAAACCACCTCTAAAAACGCACCACTTAGAGAGTTGTGTACTAAATAAAATTTAGGGTAAATTACAAGATCAAATTACGAAAAAACCCCTTATGTTAACTATGAATCTTCTAATTACACATCCACCCTTATGGTGCCAAATTCAACGAAATCTTCTAAATTCCACGGAATGTATGTTCTCTAGTTTGTACCCTTATTTTGCAGTTTTTTGATGCACTACAATCTGATATTTACAAGCCAAGAGATACATCTTATGATCATCATATTTCAAAACGCGAACCTCGAATGGGGGTAAAACGTGTACAAACTGGAAAATACTCCACATAATCCAGAAAATTCTACTAAATTTGACACCGCAAAAATGAACGTGTAAGAAGATTCATAGTTGACGGGCGGTTGTAATTGCCCGAACATTAGGAATTTTTTTCGTAATTTAACCTTATCTCAAAAGGGTGGCTTGTAATTCACCCTAAAATTTATAACACGAACATTTTTTTAGCAGTTCGATACAATAAAGTATATAATTTTTTTCTTTTCTTTTTTGAAGTGAAGTAGTTGGTGAATATTCGGTTGAAGTGAGGAGGCTTATGTTAAGGATATTGGAAGTTATAAGTGAAGGGCTGGGTTTGAAACCCGGATATTTTGATGGTGAACTGAGTAAGACACAACTCTTGTCTGTAAATCATCATATTCGATGCCCTAATCCGAGTTTGACTTTAGGAATGCCTGAACACAGTGACCCTAATCTCATTAGCTTGCTTCAGCAATCTTCTGTTCCTGGTCTTCAGATTTTTCACCATGGTCAATGGATGGATGTTGACCCCATTCCCCATGCCCTTATTCTCATTCCAGGTCTTCAACTCAAGGTATGTACAATTGTACATCCTCCTCTCTCTCTCTCTCTCTCTCTCTCTCTCTCTCTCTCTCTCTCTCTCTCTCTCTCTCTCTCTCCAGCGGCGAAACCAAAATTTTATAATTAGGAGGGCCGAATATACACTAAAATATCAAAATTTCGGGCGTTCGGGTGTAGCGGTCCCGAAAAAATTTAGAATTTTTTTTTTTTTTACAAAATCAGAAGATAGGAAAAAAAAATATTTTAGTATTTTTTTTTATTAGTTCGGACTTTGGATAGTCTAAATAATACAAATTGGATGGACTAAATAAATATATAGGTATAATATAGTGG